TGTCATTGTACCAATTCCATGCTGTTTTGGTGACTGTGTAGTAGATTTTGAGGTCAGGGAGTGCTGTGAATCCAACTTCATTTTTGGTTTTCAAAAGTGCTTTGCTTATTTGGGGGTCTCTGTCCTCTTCAATTAAGCGTGACAGTTTCCCTTTCAATCTTCTTGAAAAAATGAATTTGAAATATGAAATGGAATTGTGTTGATATTATCGTCTGCTTTTGGTAGGATTGCAATTTTGTCCGTATTTAGTTTTCCTATCCGAGAACAGAGAACTTTTTTTCCATTTATTTAGATTTTTAATGGTTTCTCACAGAAATGTTCTTTAGTTTTCTTTGTACAGGCCTTTTGTGTCTCTAGTTAGGTTCATTCCCACGTATCTCAATTTGTGGTTTGCTATTAGAAATGGTATTGTTTTCTTGGTTTCCTTCTCTGAGTTATCTTCATTACTGTAGAGGAATCCCACTAGATTTTAGATATTGATCTTGTATTCTATCATCCTACTAAATTGGTCCACTAGTTCTAACAGTTTTTTGTTTTAGTCCTTGGTGTTTTCTCTGTACACTATCATATTATCTGCATGTACTGACAGTTTAGTCATCCATTTCCCATGTGGATTCTTTTTGTTTCCTTCTCTTGTCATATTACAACAGCAAGACTTTCTAATACAAAATTGAATAGAAGTGGTGACAGTGCACATCCTTGTCCTTTCTTTTGAGAGCAACAATAAATTTACTTGATAACTATTAAAGACCAAATGGGAACTGATGAGAAGAAAATGAAGTATTTATTTAGGAATATTTGTCAAATAAAATGTCTTTACTTTTATTTGTAAAAATGAGAATTAAAAAGAAAACAAAAAGATCATTATTCACACATTTTCATAGTACCTCAGCACTCCAGTTATCATTTAACTGCAGTATGATTTTACTTTGAGCTAAAATACTATTAAAATTCTTAAAAATTTCTCTTGTAGTTCCTAGAATTTTTTAATTTATCTCTAACATTTAACTACATTTACAGTTTAAAGCAAAATTACAGACATATATGACACAGATTGTAATATTGTTATTGCTATTATGCGCCATTGAGTCACCTGCAACTCATAGCAGCCCTATGTACAATAACCCTAAACCCTGCTCTATCCTGTGCCAAACTTATTGTCTCTTACACACCTACCTCCATTACCCCAGTCACTGAATCAATCCATCTCATCGAAGGTCTTCCTCTCTTGCTCTATACATCCACCCTCCTAAGTATGATGTCCCTGTCCAAGGACTGGTCCTTCCTCACAACATGCCCAAAGTATGTCAGACAAAGCTTCAGAATCCTTGCCTCCAAGGAGCAGCCTGGCTTCACCCTCTCCAGGACAAACTTGTTCATTCTCTTAGCAGTCCATGGCATAGTCGACACTCTTCTCAAGCACCACAGCTGAAAGGCATCCAGCTTTTCTGATACAAAGCCAGTATTTGAAAATATCATGGCCTGGATCAGGCGCACCTTAGTCTTCAGACTGACATCAGCGCTCTTCAGTACTTTCGAGAGGCTTCTGACAGCAGACTGTCCCAATGCAATTCATCTCCCCCCACCCCCTCCGGAGTGCTGGTACCAAGAGTGTCGATTGTGGAGCCAAGCAAACTCAAGCTGTCAACAATCTCATCTTGTCAGCATCTATCATGATGCTTTCAGTTGACCCAGTGATGAGAATCTTTGTTTTCTTTATTTTGAGCTTCAATCCATACTGAAGGCTGCAGTCCTTGACCTTCTGTCGCAAGTGCTTTAGGTCCTCCTCAGTTTCAACAAGCAGAGTCTTGTCACCTACATAATCCAGACTGTTGATAAGTCTACCTCCAATCTTGATGACACATTTTCCTCACAGAGTCCAGCCTCCCAGATAATCTATTCTGTATATAGATTAAAAAGGCATGGAGATAGGACACATCCTTGATGCACACTCTTCCCAATTTTGAACCATGCAGTATTTCCTTGCTCTGTTCTGAAGACTGCCTCCTGGTCCAAGTATAGGTTTCACATTAGCACAATCAAGTGTTCTGGGATTCCCATTCTTCTCAGAGTCAGTTACAGTTTGTTGTAGTCTGCACAGTCAAATGCTTTTGCATAGTCAATTAAACACAGACAGACATTCCTCTGGTACTCTCTGCTTTCAGCCAAGATACATCTGACATTAGCTATAATATCTCTAGCACCATAGCCTCTTCTAAACCCAGCCTGCACTTCAGGCAATTCTCTGTTGATGAACTGTTCCAGTTGATTTTGGATAATCTTCAGCAGAATCTTGCTTGCATGTGATATCAGTGATATTGATGTACAATTTTATGACCTGAATATATTTGGTTACTATATAAACTGTTTGCTCTTTACTCTTTCTCAGCAGGTTAATTCACCAGCAACCTCTAAATATGATTTTCCCAAAGTCATAAATATTTGATAGAGTTCCACATTTCCACCACCATCACGAAAAGATAATTTCACCTCTTGACAGACTTTCATGATTTATGTGTTAGACAAGGGAGGAAAAGGTCAAGAGGTTGGTGAACTAGTCAATCTAGGTGTGTTGTTGTTGTTATTGTTATGTGCTGTTGAGTTGCTTGCGACTCATAGCGACCCTATGTACAACAGCCCTAAACTCTGCTCTGTCCTGTGCCAGTCGCACTGTCTCCGATACAGCCATCCGATTACCCCAGTCACTGAATCAATCCACCTCATAGAGGGCCTTCCTCTCCTGCACTGTCCCTCCACCCTCCCAAGCATGATGTCCCTCTCCAAGGACAGGTCCCTCCTTACAACATGTCCAAAGTATGTTAGACGGAGCCTCAGAATCCTTGCCTCCAAGGAGCTGCCCGGTTTAACCCTTTCCAGGATGAATCTGTTTGTTGTCCTAGCAGTCCATGGAACCTTCAGTACTTTTCTCCAGTACCACAGCTCAAAGGCATCAATTCTCATTCTATTCTCCTTAGTCATTGTCCAATTCTCTTATGCATATCAAGTGATTGCAAAGACCATGACCTGTATCAGATGCACCTTAGTCTCCAGAGAGACACCATTGCTCTTCAGTACTTTGGAGAGGTCCCTAACAGCAGACTTTCCCACGGCAATGCGTCTTTTAATTTCCTGGCTATTGGTGCCAAGAGTGTTGACTGTGGACCCAAGCAGACTAAAGCTGTGAACAATCTAAATCTCTTCACCATCAATCCTGATGCTGCCAATTGGCCCAGTGGTGAGAATCTTTGTCTTCTTGACATTGAGCTTCAATCCATATTGGAGGCTGCAGTCCTTGACACTCTGCAGCAGGTGCTTCAGGTCCTCCTCAGTTTCAGCAAGCAGGGTGTGTCATCTGCATATCGCAGATAGTTGATAGATCATCCACCCATCCTGACTCCACATTTCTCCTCATAGAGCCCAGCTTCCCAGATAATCCTTAGGGAGCTGAACAACAAATTCAATGCTCTAGGCAGAATATTAAATGATCCAGGGAGAATTAAAAGAAAATAGAAAGAATATACTGAGTCACTGTATAGAAAGGAATTGGCAGACACACAAGAATTTATTGAAACAACATACGAACAAGAGTCTATGGTGCTGAAGGAAGAAGTTCAGGATGCTCTGAAGAAAATAGAAAAAATGTGGCCCTAGGAATAGATGGTATACCAATTGACATATTTCAGCTAACAGATGCTGCCCTGGACATGCTCACCAAGTTGTTCAAGAAATCTGGAGAACAATCACTTGGCCAACTGACTGGAAGAGATCTATATTTGTTCCCAACCCAAAGAAGGGTGATCCAACAGAGTGTGGAAACTATAAAACAATATCATTGATTTCACATGTAAGCAAGAGTGTGCTGAAGATTACCCCAAAACGACTGGAACAGCACATGAGTAGAGAAGTGCCAGAAATCCAGGCTGTGTTTAGAAGGGGTCATGGTACTAGGGACATTGTAGCTAATGTTAGATGGATCTTAGCTGAAAGCAGGGAATACCAGAGGAATGTCTGTCTGTGTTTCACTGACTATGCAAAGGCGTTTGACTGTGTGGATCACAACAAACTGTGCCTAACTCTGAGAAGAATGGGAATCCCAGAACACTTGATCGCGCTAATGTGAAACCTATACTTGGACCAAGAGGCACTCGTCAAAGCAGATCAAGGAAATACTGCATGGTTCAAAATTGGGAAGGGCATACACCAGGGGTGTGTCCTGTTTTCATATCTTTTTTTCAAGTTTGTAGCATTTAAGAAACTACTACCAGTATTGAAAACTGAGTTGAAATTCAAATTAATAAAACTTATTGATGTGATGATATCTTTTTTCTAAGAAGTTTAATAATTGTGACAATATTGAATGAACTATATTTTCTCCTATTTTCATTAGTTTATTCAAATTAATATTCCTTTAAATATTTACTATCCATAATTAATAATTTCTGAAGAATGGAGGGCATCATTAATAAACCACCATCAGTTGCATTATTACTCTAAAATTTTAACTAAGAATTCATGTGTAGAAGTAATTCTATTAATGATTATTTTACAAAGTAAATAGAAATGTTTGACTTATGCCCTTGAGTCGACTATACCAGACCTGAACCATGTGTTTAATGTTTTATATCATATTATTTTCATAATGAAATCTTCTCTTGAATTTTTTTGTAATACCTTATCAGGAAAAAACATCTATAATGTCTTACCCAAGAGAGCATTGTATTTCCATTGCAATAATTTTATTTTCTGTAGAGATCCAAACCATACATTGTAACTCCAACAATACCCCAGAAATCTTCTAGAATTTCCAGGGAAACATGCACCACTTGAAAAATTTTCCTGATAAAAGAGAATGCTCTTTAAATCTGCTTATTTTAGTAAGAAATGAACCAAGTCTACATTGGAGATGTACTCTGAAAGGAGAAATAATTGATGTAGGTCAACATACCAAGTAATGTCAATGCATACTTTACTAAGATTCCATTTGTTTTTTTTCCCCACAGATTTCAGGAAACCTTACCGTGCCTTGGATTACAGGGTGTTCTAGGAAAAGATCAGTAAGTAATATTTCAGTTAAAACATAAAATGGGTTTCCCCTAGGTTGTTATTAGAAAAGACATGAGAAAATATGTATGATTTTTGTAAAGCTGGCAAAACAAGACCTTATTAAGATTGCATTATTTCAAGGAACATGCTTAAATGTATGATTAATATTTACAAAATAAAGGTAACTATTTAAAATAAATGTAAAAATATATGAGAGTTGTATAAAATATACTATGCAATCCTAGAGCAAATTTTTAGTGTTAAAAACATTTGAAGATAAAATACAATTAGAACTTGCTCTGCAGCTGTTTGGGGTTTTTTTTGTGGCTTTGAGTCTGAACTGACCCATAAATGACCCTACAGTGAGTTTTCAGAGGCATTAAATTGCTTCTGAAATAAATGCAGTCTCGAGAGTGCAGATACCAAATGTGTTGGTTGTAGATGTAAGTAAGATGAAGTTACTGACAATGGTAATGTTTTCTCCATCAATCATCAATTTTTGTTTTCTTGACATTGAGGTGCAAACCTTATCGTGTTCTTTGATCTTCTACAGTAAGGATTTCAAATCTTTCTAACTTTCACGAAGTAAGGTTGTGTCATCTGCATAACACAGGTTACTGATTAAAGCAAATCTTATTAGAAGAATATATATTTGTGATTTACTGACTATGAAAAGGAACTTGATTTTGTGGGACGTAACAAATTATGGCTAACATTGAAAAAAGTGAGAATTCCAGAACACTTAATTGTGCTCATGCAAAACCTATACCTAGATCAAGAGGCTTTTGTGTAAATAAAGCAAGAAGGCAACAGTACATGGTTTAAAATAAAGAAAGTTGTTCAGAAGGATTGTATTCTCTTTCTGTAACTATTCAATCGGTATTCTGAGCAAATTATTCAAGAACTAGACTCTATGAAGAATGTGACATCAGGATCAGTGGAAGGCTTACGCATGTCATACTTTAATGGATTTAAAGAGAGAAATGGAGAATTCCACAATAATAAACATTGTTATTAGGTGCTGTCAATAGTAACCCTATGAACAACAGTTCTGAAGCTTGCCTTATCCTGCACTGTCCTCACCAATGCTGATATGTTCAAGTCCGTTGTCACACACACTTTGTTGAAGATATTTTACTCTTTTTCTGAACTTATGTACTTCCTAGCAGGTTATCTTTTTCTAAGGACTAGACCCTCTTGAAAACATGCCCAAAGTATGTGAAACACAGGTTCATCATCCTTGACTATAGGGAGCATCATGATTCCACATCCTTTAAGATAGACTTGTTTGTTCGTATGACAGTCTATGAGATGAGGTATTTAGTACTCTTCTCCAACACTGAAACATAAAAGTAGCAATTCTCCTGTCATATGTATTAAATACTCTTCTCCAACACCACAATTCAATGGTATTGATTCTTCTTCTGTCATCTTTATTCGTGGTCCAACTTTCAGATTTGTAGGAAGCAATGAAAATATGATCACTTTCATAAGGCACACTTTAAAATATTGAACATACCACAGACTGCTAAGAGAACAAACATGTCTGTTCTGGATAGAGTGAAACCAGGTTGCTCTTTAGAAGGGAATATTTTGACACCTTGACTAACATAATTTGGATATGTTGTCAGGAAGTGCGAAGTGCCAGTCCTTGGAGATGGGCTTCATGCTTGAAAGGGTAAAAGACCCTGGATGAGATGAATCGACAAGTAGGCTGTGACAGTGGGGTCAGGTGTGTCAGAGACAGTAAGGTTGGCACAGGATAGGACAAGGTTCAGAGCCATTGTTCACAGGATAGCAATGAGTTGTAGTAGACCCAATAGCACAAAACAACAACAACAACTGTCTTTAAATTTACATCCTTGCTCTTTAGTACTTTGGAGAGGTTCTTAACTGCAAATTATCTCAATGCAGCATGTCTCTTCATTTCTTGACTGTTATTTCTAGAGGTATTGATGGTGGGTTCAAGTAAAGTGATATATTTGACAACTTCAATCTTTTCTCCATATATCATGATATTGCCTATTAGTGTAGATTGTGAGCATTTATAAGTTTCTTGAGGCTGAGATGTAATTGATATTGAAGACGGATCTATTTTTTTATCTTTTGCAGCAAGTGATTAAATTTTTATTCAGTTTATACAACAAGCTTGTGTCATTTACATAGCACATTCTTCTTCATAACATCCAGCTTCTCAAATTATTTTCTAAACATCCAGATTGGATAGTCACAGTAAAAGATACAACTCTGATACACACTAATCCTGATTTTAAAACATGCATTGTTTCGTTATTATTTCCTGATGATAGTTTCTTGGTCTAAGTTTCTCATAAGCACAATTATGTGTTAAGGAATTCTCACTTTCCTATGTTATCCATAATTTGTTATGATCCACACAACCAAGTGCCTTGCTTAGTCAATCAAACATATGTGAACATATTTCTGGTATTTCGTTTTCAGCCAAGATCCACTTGACATTAACAATGATATCCCTTGTGCCACAGCCTCTTCTGGATCCAACATGAGTTCCCTGTAAATGTACTGCTCCAGCTATTTTGAATAATTTTCAACAAAATTTTATTTGTGATATTAATAATGTTTTACAATAATTTACATATTTTATTGGATCAACTTTTTGGAATGGTAACAATAGGAACTACTTCCAGTCATCTGGCCAGGTAGCTATTTGAATGTCTAAGCATAAGCTAATAAGTATGCCCAGGACAACATCTCTTTTTGCCATCAAACATGCCAATTGGTATTCCATAAATTCTTGGTGCCTTATTTTGTGCCAGTGACTTCAGTGCAACTTGAACTTCTTCCTTCATTGCTATTTTTTTTTCATATGCTACTTCTTGAAATGTTTCAATATTGACCAATTCTTTTTTTGTACAGTAACTCCGTGTAATTCTTACATCATTGTTTGATGCTTCCTGCATCATTTGCGTTTTTGTACATAGAATCCTTGTGTAGTATAACTTGAGGCTTGAATTTGTTTTTCAGGTTGTTTACTTTGCTTTGTTTTGTGTTTGTAGCTTGACAAATTCCAAGTGTGGTCTTCCCTTTTGATTTTCCAACTTTTTAAACATTTCTATTTTATGTTTTACTTTGTCTTTTGGAGGTGCCCTTTGAAATCTCTGTTCATACCTTTTACAATAATACTTCTTTGCTATGTTTTTCCTTTCCAAAGTTCTAGTGCTATTTTCAGAGTCTCTTCGGACATCCATTTGCCCCCCTTTTGATTCTTCCCTGTCTTTATAATGACTATTTTCTTTCTTCATGGTTAATATCTTTGATATCATCTCAACTCAGCTGATCTTTAGTAATTAGTGGTCACTGAATTGTATTTATTCTTAATATGGTTTCTAAATTTAGGTAAGATAGACTCAAGACCATATTTTTATTATTTTTTAATTTTTTTATTATGAATTTCAATGAAAATTTCTCCCCTCCCAACCCTCCCCCCCAGTACACTCCTCTATTTGAAAAGTAAAAGAAAAATTCTTCCATTGTTTTACAATCCCTTCCCCCAGGTCCACTCCACTATGCAGCCTTCTCTCTGGACTCTCATCATGACAAAAATACCTAATCATATATACCTTTTAAACCATTTTCTTCCTCATCTACTTCAATGCAGTATACATTATTGAACCCATCTCTCTCAATCTCCCCCTAGCCACAATGTCAGTCGTTTTACAACAGTGGCACCATGCAGTATTTGTCCTTTTGTGGCTGAGAGATTTCACTCAGCATAATGTCCTCCAGGGTCACCCATTTTGAATAATATTGCATGAGTTCCTTGTTTTTCAATGCAGCATAGTATTCCATTGTGTGAATATACCACAGCTTCTCTATCCATTCGTTCGTTGATGGGCACTTGGTTGCTTTCAACTCTTTGCTAATGTGAACAAAGCCGCGTTAAACATGGGTGTGTATATATCTGCTTGGATGTCGGTTATGGTCTCTTTATGGTATATTCCCAGTATTGGAATTGCTGAGTCAAATGGTATCTCTATTTGCAACTTTTTGAGGAAGCGCCATACTACCTTTCACACTGGTTGCACCATTTTATACTTCCACCAACAGTGACCAAGGGTTTCAGTTTCTCCACAACCTCGCCAGCATTTGTTGCTTGCTATTCTGATAATTTTGCTATTCTTACTCGGGTGAGATGATATCTCATAGTTGTTTTGATTTGCATCTCTCTTAGAGCTAGGGATTTTGAACATTTCTTCATGTGCTTGTTAGCCATCTTCATGTCTTCTTTGGTGAAGGGTGTGTTCATATCCTGTGCCCATTTTTCTATTGGATTATTTATGCTTATCTTGTGGAGGTGCTCAAGTATTTTATAAATTCTAGATATAAGTCCCTTATTTGACATGTCATTACCAAATACGTTTTCCCAGTCTGTAGCTTCCCTTTAACCCTGTTGGGAAAGAAGGTCCCATTTACCTATTTTATCTTCTCCTGGTGGTAGATTTTTCAGGATACTTGGAAGACTGTTTATGTTGTGGATTAGGATTTCTAGAGTTCTTCCAAGCTTTTCTTTAATGATGTTTATAGTCCTTGGTTTTAGATCTAGGTCCATGATCCACCTTGAGTTGTTTATTGTATATGGAGTGAGGTGTGGATCTTGCTTTAGTCTTCTGCAGATATTTTTCCAATTTTGCCAACACCATTTTTTAAAAAGGCTGTCAATTCCCCACTTAACTGATTTAATCTCCTTGTCAAAAATCAGTTGACCGTAGGTAGATGGGCTGATTTCTGGGTTCTCAATTCTATTTCATTGATCATTTTACCAGTACCGTGCTGTCTTAACCACCATGGCAGTGTAGGAGGATTTGAAATCAGGAACTGAGATGCCTCCTACTTTTTTCTACTTTTAAGGAGTGCTTTGTTTATTTGAAGTTTCTTTCCATTCCAAATTAAACTAGAGATTGACTTTTCCGTCTCATTGAAGAATGAGATTGGCATTTGTATTGGGATTTCATTGAACATGTAAATTGCCTTT